ATCAAATCCTATTTAGTTCTTCATTGCTATGCAATACTTATGAGGGGGCAAAGGAGTTCTGCGTGTTAACTACATGTACATGAATGTCTGTCCTAACACACAGTTATAATATACAAGGCATTGTATATTAATGCATTGTCTCTTGTCTCTCAACTGTATTTTGCCATCTAGTCAAACCAATAAAAGCTTCCAACAGAGTTCTATGTTTAATTATGCACAAAAGAAACAACTGTAATGAGAAAAAAAATATCTGTAGATATGCTGTGTTTAAAACGTATAACAAATTATTCGGAAAATTCAGCTAATAGGGGAGTTCTGATACTGTCATGTGAAATTGTCACATGACAGTATCAGAACCAATGATTAGCTGCAGTTTCTGAGTGCAGTGTCTGAGTGATGAATAACACATTTGACTCACTGAAGCGTGGGACTGCAGATGTGCAACTAAGTTCGGGTGTCAATCTTCTCTGCTGACAGAACAGACACAAGATCATTTATTTTATATAAAGTTTGTGTGGCCAGGTGCTGGGTTGTTTTTTTACAGGCAGACCACAACAAAGACAAACACAGGAACAGAATCATTTATTTCAAGTAGGCTATACACAATAATGTTGTGTCTTTTGTTTTATACCATGCAAGTGGCATAAATATTCAGAATGCCTTGATAATGGCATGGCAAAAGCCCCAGGTTTCTGCCATAGGGCCCATTCAAATCTTTCAGTAAAAACAAAGCACAATGTGCATTTTACCACGTGTTTCCATATAAATGTTAACAATTGCTCCAGGGTTGCCAACTGTCTGTATTTTTCTAGACAGTCTGATTTGATCGACCAATAACAACCAGTCAAATATTAGAACTTTGTGGAAAATCATGTGTGGGGAATGTGTGTGGGAGTTTCTAGGGAAACCAGGCAGATAGCTGTATTGGACCTGAAGCATTTTGGAGTCTGGACTTGCTCTGCACTTGCGTGGTAAAACACGTCTATGTCACAATGACATCACATGTCACTTCAGTGGCGTTCATGTGGCACCTGTGATGAGGGGTATAAAAGGAGGGCAGAAACAACACTCCTTGTCATTGTGGGATCTTATGGTAATTAAATGGGGGCTGTCCTACCTATGTGCTTCCTTCTCCTATTTGAATACTATAGCTAGAAATATAAATGATAAGTACCTCATGATTGAAGTGGTTGTTGATTGGGCAAGCCTGCATTCGGTTTGCTTCACTGTCAGCCACTTCCATCACAGAGCTCTCACCATTTATGTTCCCTTCTCAAGTTCCTCAGGACATGTTATATTTTCCAGTACAGGAGTGGTGGATTTAGGGTGGACTTAGTGTCCATAGTAATTTGATTTGATGGATATGTGACTACTTTGAGTGAGGAATGTTCTGTTATTGTGGTACCTGCTGTGAACATAAGCAGTTGTGCACATTTGTTCATGTAGGTCTTTTCATTGATCTGGTTACTGAACAGGGTAGTGTCCAACCTGGCTGCAACAGTGATACAAGGTTATATAATTTCTGAGGAAATCATTGCTTATGAATGGTGAGATATGTGGTTAAGCCATAAAAGTAAGTAAAGTTAAGGGTTTTTTTTAAGTGAGCAAGTTGAATACTAATCTATTTAATGTGGCTCTAGTCCCTCAGTGTCAGACAGTTTGAGGGACCAGCATTAAATTGCTGTTTGGATGAGTCTGACATATACGCTGACGTACACGGTATAGTATCTAATGGAGGAGAGACACTGAGCTGTTTGCTATATGTTTGACTTGGGAGATATGAGGTATGCATGATTGAGGTGGGAGGGAGAACTGAAATGAGTACCTAATAATGGCCAAATATATTATTCTAAAAGATATACATTTACACTAATAATAGTACTGGAAGCAAAAGAGGCAGCCTTCCTGGACAACAATAATGTAAGATAAATTAATTAAGATGTATGTTTTGTACACA